ACATCATTATAACCGGCCGTTCTGTCCTTCTGGTCACTTGGCTTTTCTATATATACATAGTCACCATACTGTACATTACATCCCCAGGACTTACTTAGTTTATAACTGGCAGTTTGTACATTTTGACACATTTACCCTTTTTACCCATCCCACACCTCCCTGCCTCTGGCAACCACCAATCTGTGTTCTGTATCTATAAACTATTTTTTTTTGGAGGGGGAACAGGGGTTTTACATATACGTGAGATCATATTGTATTTGTCTATCTCTGTCTGATTTATTTCACTTGGCGTGTTGACCTCAAGTCCATACATGTTGTTGCAAATGGCAAGATTTCATTCTTTTCTATGGTTGAATAGTTTTCTGTTGTTTATATGTACCACATCTTTTTTATCCATGCATCTGTGGAGGGACATTTAGGTTGCTTCTATATCTTGGCTATCCTATATAATAAAAGCCCAGCGACTGGACAGCAGAACAATCAGAACGAGTGGTCAACCAGTCGCTATGGTGCACACTGACCACCAGGAGGCAGACGCTCAATGCGGGACCTGCCCCCTGTGGTCTGTGCACTCCCACAGTGGGAGTGCCGCTCGGCTGACCAGGTTGAGTGGCTGCACTCTGCAGCAGGAGCAGCCGCTCAACGGGTGGGTCCACAGCAGCTCAACTGACTGGGATGAGTGGAGCTTTCTCAGTGGGCCGCTCCCTGCAGGCCATGCCCCCTTACCAGTGCATGAATCCCGTGCACTGGGCCTCAAGTTGTAAATATAGCCAATGCAGTGAACATGGGCATGCAGATACCTTTTTTGAGTTAGTGTTTTTGTTTTCTAAAGATAAATATTCAGAAGTGGAATTCCTGGGCTGTATGGTAATTGTGCTTTTTATTTCATTTTATTTTTTTGAGGAGCCTCTATACTGTTTTCCACAGTGGCTGCATCTATTTATATTCCCACCAACAGTGCACAACACTTATCTCTTATCTTTTTAATAGCCTAGTTAGTGTTTACCTGCATTGTTATCAATCATTTACAGACACTATTAGTTTCCAATGTTAATGTAATCTAGTTATTTCTTAAAAATAAAAAATAAAAGCAATCTTGGAGACTTGGGTTCAGTTCTGACTATGCCTGTAAACAACATTAAGACATTGGGAAAATCCCATAACTTCCTTTGGCTTCAAGTTCTTCATCCCCAAAATGAGGGGGTTAACTCATATCTCAGATTCTCTATGGTTCTATAATACTAAATGTGTTTTTGTTCCTTATGAAAACAGTACATAGTGTGGACTTAATAATAATTGTTCGTAAAAATGGAAGGCGTGGCTCAGTGGTTGAACTTCAACCTATGAACCAGGAGGTCACGGTTCGATTCCCAGTCAGGCTATATGCCCAGGTTGTGGGCTCCATCTCCAGTGTGGGGTGTGCTGGACTGAAGAATCTGTTGAACAGATTTTTCTTATTTCGTCACTATTGAGAAGCTGGTAATTATCATGTAGTCACTAATATTACCAAAAAGTACGTTTAAGAGTCTGGCTGTCCTAGTAGACACTAGACAGGTGACTCGGATTCTACTCTCTGGCATCTTTAGAGGCTTCCACTGGTGGTATATCTACTCTGTTCCAGCTTAGTTCGTTTATATAGTTCAACCCCATCCTTACAACTTATCTGTAAGGCTGAAGTTGAAATTCCAGAGGTTTAAGTGACGTGTCTAAAACCCCACAGCTAAGGACCACAGGCAGTCCAGGACTGGCAGCACAGTCCAGATCCCACTGGCACTACAGTGTGAGTGTTGCCCTAATATTCTCTGATAAATTTCAGGCATCGGTCCTTAATGGGATACACAGCGAGGCTATATTAACAGGCAGAGGAAAGCACCAACAAGCCTGTATGCACTGCCAGGTCATCAGGGCAGAGTGGACCCCTTACTAAAGACTGTGGCAAGAAGCCAGGAGACCTGTGGATGTAAGCAGGACAGTGTGAGAGGAAGCCTTAGGAACTTAAAAAGTCCACAAGAATGAGTCAACAAGTTAAAGTGGAAGGCTGTGGGCAAGTTCCTTAATGTGGTTGTGTTTGAGCTTGCTCCTCTGAAAGAGGATAATCATAGAACTACCTCATGCTGTTGTCATGAGAATTAGAGTTAATGCATCCAAAACCTCTAATGTTAACTATTATTTTAGGCCTTTAAAAAAAACTGTTATCTGCCAACTTTTCTTTCTAGGGGATCTTTTTTTGGAAAATGTAGTTTGGAGTTCTAAAGGAAAATGTGTGGAGAGCAGAAATTACAACCAGTGCTTAAAATTAATGAGTCCTTTTAAAAACTCATTATATGTGTATGTATTTGTTCAGATCTACCTGGTTTTAATTGAAATTTTAATTAAAATTGGGAGTTCACTTGACTTATAGAATGGTGTTTATTAGTTAATCTCATAATAATGAATGCTTTCCATTTTTTTTTATTTAACTTGACTTTTAAGATGATCTTTCAACAATAAATTCACCTGAACTTTGTTTTGCTACCATTTGGTGTTAATAGGTGCTATATGTTGAGATGACTATAACTGAGCTACTTTATTTTTTTAAAATAGTTCTTTATTGTTGAAAGTATTACACATGTCCCCCTTTTTCCTTCATTGACGCCCTCTAGCCCGCCCCCACTCCCCGGCCCAGGCCTTCAGCTAGCTGAGCTAGTTTGGAGGTGATGCTGGGAAAAACAAACAACAGCAACAAAACTTTTATCTTTCTATCTATATCATAAGCCAGAGGCAGAATTAAAATCATCATTTATGGAAGTGGATATGGAATGCCTAGGACCACAGATTATACAAATTCATCAAAACTCTTATCTAACAACTCTCTTTATGATATTATGTTACTTTTAAATATATTTCTTTAAAAAAATTAATTATTGTCAGCCCTTGTCACTTTTTGTTTTTTTTTCTGACTAGTTATCATGAAACTTTCCTACTGTTAACAGGATCTGGTGGAACAGATATGAACCAGTCTTCATAGAAACTGATCAAAATTTTTAGTTCCTTTTGATTAAAACCATCCTTTGTCTCTTACATCCTGTAATTGTCACTGTTTATCTCATAGGCAAACTCAAAATGCCTTCTTTATTTCAAAATTCTTTGCCATAAAATGTCTCCATATTTTATTTTATTTTTATACAATATTTGTCTTTTTTTATTTTAAAAATGTTTTTATTGATTTCAAAGAGAGGAAGAGCAAGATAGAAACATCAGTGATGAGAGCGAATCATCAATTGAATGCCTCCTGCTGCATGCTCCCTACGAGGGATGGAGCCCCACAACCTGGGCATGTGCCCTGACCAGGAATCAAACTATGTGACCTCCTGGTTCATGGTCTGATGCTCAACCACTTAGCCACACCAGCCGGGCAGTCTTCATATTTTAAACTCCCAGCATTTTTAGATAGGTCTGGTGTCTGAACTAACTACAGTCACACATTGTGTGACTGCTCCCTCACCTTGGTGATGGTTTTATTAGGAAAACATAAGTGTTTTGTCATATCATGATCCTAACATTAATGAGATAAAACACTTACATACTTTTTATCAATGTGTGTAAATAAAATTTTTTAGTTGGATATGCTCATTTGAAATTATATGAAAATCTGGAAGGTATTTAGTATTACCCACAAAATTGACTGAGAGAATTTGATAAGCTATTTGTAAATCTTATGATCTTTCTAAAAGTTTCATTAAAGTGAAGTTTCACTGAAGTCATTGGCTCTAAGATGCCATCTTTGATCAGACTTGCCAATCATCATATTTAGAAATCCATGCCACAAGCTGTCACTATTTTCACTCCATGGACTTCACTTATTACCCCCAATCAGGAACTCAGAGTTCTTGAACCACTTTTTGTAAAAAATATGTTTTTATTGGTTTTAGAGAGAGAAGAAGGGAGAGGAAGAGAGAGAGAAACAGCGATCATCTGCTTCCTACACACCCCTGCACGGGGGAATGAGCCCACAACCAGGGCATGTGCCCTGACCTGGAATCTCACCGTGACCCCCTGGTTCATAGGTCAGCACTCAACCACCACGCCATGCCAGTTGGGCAATTATTTAATTACTTTAGCTAGCTCTCCTGATATGTATTTCCTTCTCTTAAATAATGTGATTATACTGCTATTTCTAGATTTATCAATTTTATTTTATTATTATGTTTTAATCCTCACCCGAGGACATGTTTGGAGAGAGAAGGAGGGGAGAAAGAGAGAAAAGGAAAGGGAGAGAAAGAGAAACATCCAACAGTTGCCTTCCTTATGTGACCCACAGGGAACAGAACCCACAACCCAGGTATGTCCCTGACCAGGAATTGAACCAGCAACCTTTTGATGCACAGGACAGTGCTCAACTAACTGGGCCACACTGGCCAGGCTAAACCAATCATTTTAGATATGATCTTTGACTTTATATTAGGGCAGTTGAAGAGTTGTATTTTGTACCCACTCATACCCACTTGCCCTCCTGATTCCCATTCACCCTATACAGTTTATCATAATTTTTGATTAAATAAGAAGTCTGGGTTTACATTATTGAAATTGTGTCAGAATGTATTATTTATAAGTGATGAGGTGATTTATGATATATTTTCTCCTTCATAACAATGTGAACAATGACCATTTTGTCTTGGTTTTATTCATTGTCTTTGTTTTCTATTAGTTGTTTTTTGTTTTTTTCCAGTTGACTATAGAATTCTTAGCACAAACTTTTCCAGATGCTCAATTACTACCAACAATCTGTGATGTCCAGTCTGGACTAACAGGTCTTTAATGAGTATAGCTGGGGTCCTGGTATTTTCTGTATTCTTAGGTAGTTTGAGCTACAGTTTTAAAAATCCTACTTTTAATCCCATTCTTAACTCGTTTTTGTTTCCAGTCATGGTTTTTCTCTCAAATTTGCTCAAGAACATTTTCTATCAGCATAGGAATTTTTTAAGTCCAAATATTCATAATTCCAGATGATTTATGTTTTAACTGGTGATGAAACTCTAACTTAAATCATTTTTTCCTCTGAATTTGGAAGGCATTGCCCTGCATTCAAAATTACTCTTTAAGAAGCCTCAAACAATTATACTTCAAATTCTCTTCATATAACTTTATATATTTTTTCTTCCTGGGAGTGTCTAAGATTTCTCTTTTTTAATTTATTGATTTTAAGAGAGAGATTAGAAAAGGGGAGAGAGAGAGAAAGAAACCCTGATTTGTTGTTCCACGTATTTATGCATTTATTAGTTGATTTTTGTATTTGCCCTGGCAGGAGATAGAACCCATAAACTTAATATTTCAGAACCCTCTAACCAACCAAGCTACCCAGCCAGGGCCTAGGATTTCCCTTTTATTCCATGCTATTCTCAAATTTATTAAGATGTTTCTAGATATACGCCTTTTTTTCCTTTTGTTGTTCTGGGCAATCCAAATAGTTGTGTCTTTAGATTCTGAGCAGTTTTCTCATTTATTCTTTGACAGTGTCTTCTCCTCAGTTATCTTTATTGTCTGTCTCTGGAATTCTTAACTAGATTTCTGTTCCCATTGTATTTCCCCCCCTGTAATTTTCCATCCAGTAGTGGGGGCATTATTACTAACAGAGCGATTTCCTCCTGCTTAATATCTATCTTTTTGAATGTTACTATCAAATATTTTCCTAACATCCTAGGTATGTTTTATATACTTATTTCTCTCTTTATTTCTTTGAAAATACTGTGTGCGTGTGTGTGCATGCGCGCGCATATTTATTCTTATTTGTGCATTTTCTCTGTTTCCTCCAAGTACCCTTTTTTGTGTTTGTTCAGTTTGGTTTCTATATTGCATCTAAGCTTTTAAGCATTATAAGCTATCTTCTAAACTTTATTCTAATGTCTGCCTATCTTTTGCACTGTCCTTATATTTAAGAATAAGGGACTATAGAACAGTGATGGCGAACCTTTTGAGCTCGGTGTGTCAGCATTTTGAAAAACCCTAACTTAACTGTGTTGTAGTGTCACATATAGAATTTTTTTGATATTTGCAACTATAGTAAAACAAAGCCTTATATTTTTGATATTTATCTTATATATTTAAATGCCATTTAACAAAGAAAAATCAACCAAAAAAATGAGTTTGCGTGTCACCTCTGACACACGTGTCATAGGTTCGCCATCACTGCATAGAACTTAGTGGATATTGTGTGGGAAATGCTTATCGATAGGTGAATTCACAGAACAGTGATTGGCTGGGGTCCTGGAAATTTTACAGGAAGTTACCTAAATGTCAGTATAAGTATATCTTTTATCTCTGGGAGTGTCCAGTGTTTCCAGAGAATAATCTCTACATTAAATGTCTCCAATTGAATATCTTTACATTACCTGAAATTATATTTCAATAGTATTTTCTGATTTACCAAATCCTAGAACGTTTTCCAACTGCCACACATTCATTAGTACCATTATCTTCTCAGATTCCGAAGCTCCACACCTGCAGGTAATTCTTTTATATCCAATGCACAGCCTTTTTATGACCTGCAGATATTCTTATTCTTTCTTGTTACTTGGCTCACCATTTTTACTCACTCCAATTTCTGCTCTGGCTTAGTCTCTTATCACCTCATTGCAACTACTTTATTCTTCATAGTGAATACCATCCCTCATCTTTCAAGTCTACACAACAATTAGTTAAAGAAAAAAAATCATTCTTCAAACATCTCTTTTTATTATAATTGGTTCAAACCTGGGAACAGATTCCACAATCCAACTCTGCTTTGCTTTTAAGGTTCATCCATCTCTTATATAGCTTCTTTTCTTCAGGTAAACATAATTTGTTTTCTGTGTCCAATCAATACATGACCATTATAACTTCCTTTTTCTATGTTTCTTCTTCCACACAAATTGTCCTCCCACAGCTTTTGTGTGTGAACTTCAGGGTTGTCTAGTTTCTATCAAAATATTGCTAAACTTCCACTTTCTCCAGGAATTCTTCTTGCATTTGATAGCTGACTGTTCATTCCTTTACTTGCTGTTTCTAACACACTTCAGTGTTAGATTGAAATTTCAGTTGGATTGAAATTTTAGTTGAATTGAAATTTCTTCAGTTGGATTGAAATTTTAGTTGGATTGAAATTTCTTTAATGAATCAGTTTTGCACCATTTCTTTTAAGTCAGCCTGATAGCCAACACATCTATAATAATAAAAGCCGGGGCTGCAAGGGAAGCCTGGGCCCCGGGTGCCTGCTGGAAGCCGGAGGGAAGCCTGGGTCCCGGGTGCCAGAGGGAAGCCGGAGGGAAGCCTGGGTCCTGGGTGCCTACCGGCGGCCAGAGGGAAGCCTGGGTCCCGGGTGCCAGATGGAAGCTGGTGCCAGCAGCCATGGGAAGGAAGGCCTACTCTTAAATAGTCGAACCTGGAATCTTCTGATCCGTAGTCAGAAAGAACACATATAAATGTTGTACTCATATCATCATTCAATAAGTATTCTAGATAACATTAAGCATATCAGAATAATTAAGTTGCACACTACTGTTTATAGTATTTAATGTATTTTAGTTGCAGTAATGAACTGTTTGTCTTTCCGAGCCAGCCAGGAGTCGAACCTGGAATCTTCTGATCCGTAGTCAGACGCGTTATCCATTGTGCCACTGGCCCTAAGATGCATTTTAAATTATTACTCTTCACATTCTTTTAATAATCTGCCTTCGTTATTGTCCCCTCTTTATAAACACCAAAGTCCTTTATTGTGAAGAATGTATCTATAGTTTTTCCTTTGTATTAGCCCCTAGTGCATCATGTAATTATTTGATACATAACATATTAGTGCTTTCCTTTCCAGTTCAGTGACTCTGCATGTTGATTATTTAGATTTTCAAATGTCAGATTTAACATTTTACATGAAGCTTCAAGGTAACTGTTGGCTCTAAACTCTGAAAAAGAGATCGGAAGTTCCACAAAATACCATAAAGTAGTCACAAATTTATTTTCCTAGAAATTGTACCTGTATTAGAAGATCTGAATTGGCATTCTGACTGGCATGGTTTGTGAGGATTAAATTTATCAATCCTGAGAACACTGAGTGCACTGTCTAATAACTGAGGCTACTGCCCACAAACCCTCTCTCAGTTTACAACCCCCACATCCTATTTGCATAGGCCCATCGGGCATTATAACATGTTCAAAGTATAAAGAATTAAAGCGATTATGCTGTTCTTGTCCTCATTTTGGATAAGAATAGACTGAGGCTCCAGCTTATGGGACTAGAGAGATCAGCAGACCCCAGTTCTCTCAACTTTTCCTGTGGCACTAGCTTGCCTTGACCTTGCCCAGACGCTATCTATGAAATATAATATCATTTTTTTATTCCATAAAAATCTTAGCAGGCAGAGATCCAAAATGCATAGCATGCTTAAGGGAATGAAAAGGGCAGGGCCCTACTGTATAGAAACAGCAATGATGAGAATCATTGATCAGCTGCCTTCTGCATGCCCCACACTGCGGATTGAGCCTAAAACCCAGATTCAATTGAGTCACAAGAGAAGCCCATCCTGATAGATCTGAGAAACTTTCCAGAATGTGTGCTAATGTATGGATCATGATTTTTTTGAGCCAGCTGTGCATATTTAATAGAAATGTATAATAAACACATGGAAACTTTTGTTTGAAAATAAATGTATGTGGGAGAGCAGGGGCAGGCTAGAAGGGGTCAATGAAGGGAATAAAGGGGACATATGTAATACTTTCAACAATAAAGATTTAAAAAATGAAAAAAAAAAGAATTAAAGCGATTATGCTGTTCTTGTCCTCATTTTGGATAAGAATAGACTGAGGCTCCAGCTTATGGGACTAGAGAGATCAGCAGACACAAGTTCTCTCAACTTTTCCTGTGGCACTAGCTTGCCTTGACCTTGCCCAGACGCTATCTATGAAATATAATATCATTTTTTTATTCCATAAAAATCTTAGCAGGCAGAGATCCAAAATGCATAGCAGACTTTTCTTTGGACTTCTTGTAAACAGTATAAAGAATTGTGGGTGGAATCAAACCCAAAACTT